AATATCAAATATCCATAAAACTTCAGCAGACGGAAGAAAGGAACTCGAGAGTTCAACTACCAAAAGAAGTACCGAACATATTTGGAACTGAAGTAAATAAAAATGACAGTAGGGACTAGAAATGAGAAAGGCGACCACCCAGGGGCTGTTGTCGAAGCGCAGTGGCCGTGCCGTGTGGGTGGTTTTCGCGCCCGTTATCGATATCCAATTTTGATGGCGCAGATCATTTTCGTGACCCGACTCATTCCCCCCCGTGTCGACCAAAATTTGAAATACTCTCAAGTAGAGACGATGCTGTAGTAATAATCGGCCATTCTTACGTGAACATTCCATGGTTCAGATTCTACCCGCATGACTAATTCTTCCACCAACACTTCATTTTCCCACTTTCCAGGAGCTTCCCGCTCCTTCAAGTCAAAAACCTCGGTTGTTTGAAGCAGTTCCACCTACTGGTGCTGTTCACTCAAAGCTGAGGACAATTAGAACCTGAGAGATTTTTTTCGGATGATTGCTGAAAAATCAAAAAAAAAATCGATGTGGAGCACGGCGGCGAACGCTTAGGTGGTGTCTCTTTCATGAACCTGATCTCTAGTGCTCCACCTGATTCTACACCGCAATTTGAGTGAGAGCTTCGACACATATCTCAACTAAGTTCACAAAAGAGCTTCGAGGTACCTGCTCAAGGTCATCATCCTTCTCACGGGTTCGACCTGAACCCCCCCACTTCTTCCCAATGCCTGTGGGGAATTTTCAAATTGGGGTTATTTTCGTGGTCCTAAAAAGGGGAATCATCATCGAAGAGAAGAGGGTGTACTTTTGGAAGAACATGATAAAAATCGGAAGTAAATTATACAGTTTCCACATTGCGTCCCCTCCCCTTTGCGGTTGGCCACTCTGACAGGTCTCAAAATAAGCCAGATCACCACGGGTACCGCTACCCTTAAAGGGGCTGTATTAAGGACGCTCTTCAGAGGGTGGGGTAGGGGTGTGGGTCATTCCAACGTGACAGTTGACCCTGTACAAGAAGAACATCATGTCCACAGCAGACTACGTCAGAAAACGTTTCATCATAGTTTCAAAAATAAAGTATAAAAATTTTTCAGAAACAGCTAAGAACGGAACATTCCTTCATTTGAGCCGATTTTCGAGTAGTGCGAATTTTTAGGAGTTTCGTCGCTATTTGTGGTAATGAAGGAGTTTTCACTGGGCCCTTTTTTGACACAGAGATGGATTACAGTATCCAGACCACACATAACGCCGGTGACTGTGGAAGGTTATTTGCTGAACGAATCCTCAACCGCAGTTAAGGGGAAGGGGTGGAGCGAGAGGAGCTTCCCGACCCGACGAAAAAAATTCAACTCATTTGAAACCGTGACATCCATTGTCTAATATTAACTTATAAAAAATTATGGTCGCCTAGTTTCATTTATATAAGCGAATCGACAGCAAAGCACTCACCCTACAGCTTCCCACTTTCACGAATGGGATCACT